TTTATGTTCCGCGTCAAATATTGCGAAATATGCCCATTATAATGATAATTATTACTAATATTAACATGCGGTATATTTTTTCGCCCAGAGGAAATACTTGCCTGGAGCCTTAATGTGCCACTAGTGCTGTGCCCCTTGTACCGATAACATATTTGGTACCCGACACGTTACGGACTGCTTGGGCAAACGCCGGAAATTTGGCATAGGGACACCGGCTATCGGCCGTGTCAAAATGCAAACCAATGGTAACTCCTTCCGCCAAAATATTTGTTAAAGGGGTGCAAAGAGAGGACGCTCAAACACATCCTAGGTTAACCAGTCTCAGTCAGGCACGCTGTTGATGACCTCTAGTACTGACACTCTCATCCCTGTCTGCTTTCCGTTAACACCAATGTGTCAACCTGCTCGGGAGCATGCCTGAGTGCACTCCGTGTCCCCTATGGACGCATACATCTACCCCTGTGCTTACACCCATGGTGTCCCATCGGATAATGTCCCATGACCAATGGGAGTTTCACCCTCAGTGCGTGCGTTGCCACACAGGGAGAGACTGATTACATGGAAATGTGAATTTTAATGAACAACACGTGCTTTTGATTTCTACCAAGCTAAATTATTAGCGCTATCCGTGAAATTGCCTGTAAAAATGTATAGTAATGTACATTGCTCATTAGTTCCCCTTCTCCTCCCGACTGGATTCCAAAGTGATGCGATTGTCAGGCATTTAAGTTATTCAGTGACCTTCGGCATTTAATATATCCTAACTACTTTCAAGGCAATTCATCACGACCTGATCATTCATTAAGGTTCAGATGAACTTTGTCTTGCCACGTCCCGTGATATAGGTTTGAGGTGAACGCTAACACTTTGTCAAACCTGCTATGGAAGACAACTGTTTACGTGTCTTTGGGATGGGTTTGATTCGTGTGAACGATGGTTTCACGGTATTTTTTGAGATACGAACACGTGCTTACATACACCTGCCTCAGCTGTACCCACAAAATCTTACTTTTCATTGATAGCCACAAAATTGGTAGTTAGGGCTATGAAAAGCGTACACTGCGTGAAGCCAACGTCCCCGAAATTCGTCCACCTACCACTGCTTTGTTATTAGACTGTTCCAGAAGGTTCTCTTAGCATACAGCCTATATCTCGAGCCAAGGATTAGGAGCAGGAATTCTCGGTCAGACCTATTTCAAAACGGACACGGCACTTATCACCTGACCGCACTTTGTGTGGATTTTTTCCCCATCTTTTTCTCATTTATTTCAAGTTTCATTCCTGGTTAGTCGGAAAGAAGCTGGGCCATCTCTGATCCTAACAGCATTGCCGTGAAACCTACCCGATGCGTCCTCGAAGTAATAGCACTAGTCAGAGTGACAACTAATTCAGGACGCGGGCGCGAGTGGTGTCAGTGAGTCAGTTGGCGCTTCAGAATACTCTCACCTGTTGGTGTCTCCCTTAGTATAATCTTTTTCACTCTTACACCGATTTCGGTTCGGAATGCAACTTTCTCGTCCATAACCAGCGTCTACGCAGTCAGCCACGGTGCACCTGCGCCAATGACGGCCTACGCCGCGACATTCATAACTTCAGCCATACATCCAGTGTAGACACGAAGAATTAAGCGGAATTGGTTTAATGATGTTTTCTAGTTGGCCCGCGGTTGATCATCACTCGTGAATGGTCGGATCCTTGTAACAACGGTACCTCAAGGCCCACAGATATATATTCATAGTCTGTTAACAGACATTGTGCCATCAGAACCATGGAAGAAAAATGGAGAAAATAGAAATACCAAATGCAATGAAAATCAAAAACTATTTTTCGTTTTACGCCATTTTGAATTTTTTGTGCATTAAAGGGGGGATAAGATGACAGAACAACATTGACGCTATTGATTTCTGTTGCAGGCCATGGCATCCAATGTTTCCAACCACTGAGATTCAGCATCGTGTGGTTCCCAATCCGGAAGACGGACTGGTCCGACTGCTGCCAAACTTGAGGTTACCTTCTTCAGGCTGTTTCTCCACGTCATTGACTGTCCACCGCGGCACTTTTTCCAATCGCTCCCTGGGAGTGCAAATAGCGCTTGACCTGGAAGGCGATGGGCTGGCATGCGCAAAACGTGCCCAAGCCAACGCATGCGATGTCGGGGATTGGCACTACTCGCTCCAAGCACTCGGTCTCGGACCTCTGCGTCGCTTACATTGGGTTGCCACCAGACCCGTGCAATCGTTCGTAAACAGCGAGTGTCGAAGACTGACAACCGCTTTATGTCTTCCGATCGAATAGGCCGTCTCACAGCCGTACAAGAGTACTGCACGGATGGACGCATTGTACATCCTGCCCTTGAGACTGACGTCACGAAGACGCCATAGGTGTCTCAGTTTTATGATTGCAAGGCGGGCCTTTGCAGTCCGTTGTGAGACTTCATTTCCAACACCACCACCAGCCATGATGCAACTCACTAGATAAGTAAAGCAAGGGACTTGCTCCAGAACATGTCCATCATGGTGAGCGCGGGTTCACGCAGCTGCCAATCCTGGAGCAATGTTTGGTTCCTTATCAATCGGTCCCGTTGATCACCGGTTCTTAGACGTAGAGAAAGAAAAATGTATGCATCAGCGGTACACCGGTGTTCTGCGCAGACGGTTCGCTGCCACCACCAGTCGCGCCTGCACGATAACATTTGTGTCACAAGGCCGATGCCCCACCCTCTGGGCCACCAGTCCAAATACTAGCTATTCACGATGCATTGACGTGACCAACATTTATTTCGTCCTGAGAGTTCGCTTTAGGCTTTGCGTCTTCTTGTTATTAAAGCGGATAGATAGACGAATCGTCAGATTGTAAATGTTATGTGGCGGAATCTAACGGCGGGTGAATAACTCAAGCATATGACTAAGCGCGGCCAATAATCACAGAACAGCAAGCCTAAAGCGATGATCACGATCGTCATCGTCAACAGCGGCACCTTAATACGTCGCGCTTGTGCCCCTATGCCATGACTTTCCTGGTACTGAAGAATAATAGCAGGAATAAAGGGGTCCTGATGTAAAACCTAACCGTTCGAAGCAAAAATTTTGATTTGAGGCGCTTAAGTTTCAGTGAAAAATAAACCGTTAAAAACAATCGGTTCATGCATCAGCGAGACAGCTTGCTTGCGGCCTCCCATTCCCCGCATCATAATCAATCCTACTCCGCGGATAACTCAGCACCCAGTTCGACCAGGAGACGGCAGCAAACGCGCCACTGGTGTTCAGCACGTCTCGAGCCATGCAAACGTTAAGTTGCATGGAATCCATAATGGAAGACGAGATGGACAAACAGACTTCAGCTTAATGGTTGGCCGGATAGCGATAAGCTATCGGACCAATGTTTGTCGGTTTTGAATCTTATGCAACGTTCGCTCAAGCGAACAAAATCAGCCTCTTCTCGGTGATCGATGGGACAGGCTTACACATGCACACTCGAACCATTGCTATTTACTCACTCTTAGTTATTGGTATAATCAATTTACGCGATGGCTGCTGCATAGTACCCCCACGTAACATTGTGGACACAAGCTGATGGTTTTTGGACGAGGAATGCTTAGTTGGTATGATTGGCCAACGAACTGAGAACACATTAGGACGGAAGCGACCAAGTATCGCTGCGGTTAAGGAGAACGACGCTCGCTGCGGTCCAATATAGGCGATCTCTAAGACAAAAGGAAATTCCTTTGCTGCACCAAAAATTTCGCAGATCCATAGGGCACTTCTGACTCTCACAATACCTGAGCTGACTTTAGTAGCCGTACACCCATCGATGTTGATGCGACTGCCAAGTCCTAGCAATGACGCATGTCTATATGGTACAGGCAATCAAACGTATTACTGCCATGCTCATTTGAACGCCTCGTTTATGGCTTCTCGGTCTCCCCAATGTACTGCGCGTCTCCATCCACCGCGTATCGGAGGTATTTGGATGTGCACTCTGCGCCATGATTTTTCCGATCACACCGTGTGTCTGTTCCCTCCATAGTGCTCAACAGTAGTGCACTGCTGATCTCTGCGGTATCACCGAGTGCTACCATTCTAGCTGGCCAGAGTTTGACACATCCATTGAAACATGTATCCCGCGATTTCATTGTTCCATGTTTTCTTTTCTGGTTGATTCAAACTGTTAGTATCATCCTCTTGAGACTACTGACTCCGCTGCAACTTGGTGCTCGGATTATGGTTGCTCGGACATACTGCCGAACGGATTCAGTCAGAGCTGTCCCCGAACTAAATAGGTACCTAATTCATTCGACTATATTCAAGTACTATTCATGTAACCTCCTTACTGCAACAAATATTGTCTGATATTTCTCCATATGGTTCAGCAAACCCTTGAAGTAAGTAGACAATTAAGCGAGAAAAACGTATAAAAATCGATCTGAAAGCCTAATCATGTCGAATGTAGTCCTACTAGATAGGGCTTTCGAAATCGGTCATCTCATTGGTTTGATACTTTGTGTGACACAGATTAATCTTGAGATCAGTGACTTGCGCATAACCTTTTGTTTTATTTTCTCCAGCCTTTCCATCTAGAAATTAGAGTTTCCTTATTTTTCAACTTCCTGTCATATTTTACCGGCATGCGCATCTCCTGCTAGTTTCACATCCATGCTCCCCGATCCAACACACGTGGGTGGTTGACTCATATTTGATAAACCCAACGTTTCTCACCAAGCTACATCGCCGCCATACACAATGATCAGCCGCCACCCGTTGTGCTTTTTTTTATCCCACCCGTACCTAGAGCGGGTCATCATCAGTGGAGTTATCTTCTGATTGTCCTTCCAGATATAGCTAATTTTAAATTGCTCTTCGCGATAACTTACATCTCCGCATCTGAGCCGACACTACTGAGTTATCGCCGATACAGTGTAGTGTTTTGAGAAATATTTGCAATCATGTTTTGGGTATCCACAGCTTATCCGACTGCATACCATTCTTGGTGCTTTTTCACAGGTGGTCCGACCCGTTCGATGGGAGCAAGTGTTGCATGCGATGTACTCACGGCCTCCTGATGCACCATTTCCTCGGACAATCGAACCCGGTCCTGGAAGACAGCTCGGTACGATGCTCCGCGTAGTGAACCGCAAAGCTTTCGCGCGCTATCAGTCGATAGAAGTGTGAATGTATTTTCTCCCCAGCACCAAGACAGACACACACACTAACTGCGTGACTGACTTGCTCAGACTTTTGCACCAGATGAGCTGCTCACCGATACCTTGTCATCTGTAATTAATTTCATCCCACCCAATCAGAAGTGCAGCTCTAATTCCGATTTAACTGTTTGATTTGCACAAAATACAAATTCTAGTACAGCTACGGATTGCTTTCCAACCCGTTTAAAATTTCAAGAAAGGGGAGCGCTAAGCAGTGCAGTGTAAAATCGCATTACTGTACGCGTTTAGTAGAACGAATCGATAGTGATATACTTCACCACAGTTTCCGTCTATGCATGCACGCATTTGATCCCAATTTGAGAATCACCTTTGCTTCAGCTGACCGTGCTTATTTATGGTGACGTTCCTTACACAACCACTCACAACGCTGTGGAAGGCTACCACAATGAAGTTAGGTCGGAACTATAGTTTCCAGTACTGCATGAGTGACTAACCTTACTCAGTAAACTGATAACTTTGGACCATCAAGTGTGTTTATTACAAATATGCGGACACGACTATTTTCTCGCCCGATTGGCAGTGCGTGCTCACGTCAAATCCTCTTGGAGTCGAGCCAACGTCCACTAGACAAAATTACCTCCTAAACAACGCTGTGAGAAGACGAAAGCTGGCAGATGTTAACATTTCGTATTTTGTCGTCAGTGCCAATACAATAACAAGAAAGTATATATATCTACAGCTAGGGTGTGACCGGATAAAATAGACAGGGTGGGGTACAGATATGCTACCGCTACGTCCAGGGGAGCCTTAAGCTTACAAACAACAGTTTTTGCACACTGAGTGCCGGTTTGATCCTGCTGATCGCGACAGTCTCGGCGAAATGTTGGATGCGAGTGTTAGCATGTCTCAACAAGATTGTGAACTGTGTCGCAGGGTCGAACGGATGACAAGTGGCCAATAAGTGTCTACCTATGAATGAGGCAGGTGGCTTTCGTGAACAGTTGGTCGACGAAGCGGAAAACTGGATCATTTCACGCTGCACCCACTTATGTACATGTTCCCTTACTCTGGAATTCAACATTCTCTCGGTACGGCCTATGTAGCGTGACTCGCATCTACAAGTGAATCGGTAAATCCAGTATGAATTGACGCCGAAAGTTTGTCTTTTCTTCATTTGGGGAACAGGCACTTTGTTGGTTTGGTTAATAAGGACAATTTCGGCAGCGTAATAAGTCTTATGAACAGTGGAAATTAATCGCTTGGTTGTTCTCATGGTGGCAAGGTCACCTTTAAACGGTAGTTCTATAAATATCTTCTTTTTGGCCACAGTGGGGACCTCTCTGGCCACTACCGTCTGGCTGTTTTAAGATAAACAGGCGAGGATAACCGTTTTTCAAGAGCGTATTAGATTTGACCCATCAATCTTCCCAATGATGCTCAATTCCTACGTGCGCCCGCATGTTGAGTACGCAATCCAAGCTTGGCAACCTTGGTTGGAACGCGACCTAGAAGCGATAGAGGCACCACAACGAAGAGCAACAAAAAATGTAAAGGGCCTGCGCTATCACTCTTACCACCGAAGGCTGAAGTTGCTGGGGATTTTCAGCGGACGTTATCGAAGGCTGCGCGGCGATCTCATATTAGCGTATCAGATATTGAATGACCCTAACCACGTATGCCGCCATTTGCTGAAACTTAGCCACAACACGCAGCTCAGGGGTAACTGCTTAAAGTTGAAGGAACAATATAGCCGTCTAGAGTGTCGACGGAATTGCTTTTCCCTTCGGGTTTGCAAACCATGGAACGCACTCCCAGACTCAGTAGTATCCTCTCCTACCCTGGATGTTTTCAAAAAACGATTAGATGTTGCTCTCAGCTCCCAACATTTTGTTACCTAAGCTCCTCTGTTGTGGATTACGCCAAGCATGTTTTCAACAGGACTAATGTATCAAATGGGCCTAAGTGAGCGACCATATTTTACTTTTCTCACTCCTTACCTCAACTATCACTGCACCCCAGTGTCTTTCTGAATGTTTACGCGCGATATTTCTTTTTCATTTCACACTGATGTTAATTATCAAACTATTCATCTCGGCAGACGTTCGATAGATGACCCAGACATATTTTAATTGCATCATATTCACCGCTACCATCCTACGGGACGTGTCAAGCACTTGCTTTTATCCCGTGATAAATCATTGTTCATTGTTCAACAGATCCTGTTGCTCTTCCAGGCAATCAGGGCTGCATATTCTTCTTGCGCGATTGAACAAGGTCTTGACTAGCGTCCGCTTAAACCGCATTGGAGTTAAACTGGTAAAATGCAGGTACTGCCCGGACCATATCGGTTTTCCGTAAACAGATCGTTTGATGAGACCGTTTTCTCTACGACTAATCAGTACGTCCAAAAATGGGAGACAGTTGTTACATTATACTTCGCTGGTTACTCCCAAATTTGTATGTACATTATTAAAATGTTCGACGAGACGTGCAATCTCTGTTGTTGATGACGCGAACACTAAGATATCGTCCACGTAGCGTATGTAGAAGGAAAGGCGGGAAATTTCTGCACTCATCTTTGTCTCCACCATGGACATGAAGAAATCCGCTAATACTGGACCCAATGGAATCCCCATTGCTACACCACCTATCTGGCGCTATGGGGTGTTTCGAAAGTGGAAACTGATATTTTCAGTGCAAAGTAACAGGATGCCTTTCAACAGCTAAGTTGGTGTTGGAAGAGATTAGCTCGCAAAGAGCTCCGGGCAGAACTCCGTGCTAGCCTGAAGAGAGACCGCGAATCCTGGTGGTCTCATCGCGCATCAGAGATGGAAATGGCCACTGCCCTTGGTAACCCTCGAAATTTATTCCGGCTGATATAAGGAACGGGCATCAGGAGACCTGGTGTTAGTGAAACTATACGTGACGAGAGTGGACAGCCTATCCACAACTTATCAAAACGCTGAGAGCGTTGGGCTGAGCACTTTAAAAGGCAATTTAATCGGTCGGAATTGTTAGATTTCTCGCCGGCCACTGATCGCCCCGCTCTCTGGCCTGTCCCTTTAGACCCACCCTCTCGCTCAGAAGTCGAACGTGAGATCACACTGTTGAAGTTAAATAAATCTGCGGGACCGGATGACCCATCTCCACTTCAAATTCGAGGGACCTGCTCTTGTGGATGATTTACACGAGTTACTAGTGAAACAGTGGAAGCAGGAAACTGTCCCAACCGACTGGAGCCACTCCGTCACAGTCCCAATTTTCAACGGAGGCTCACGATCGGAATGCGGCAGCCATACAGGAATAAGTCTGATCTCCATCGCCTCCAAATTGCTTGCCTCTGTCATCCATCACAGACTGACTGGCACTCGTGAAAGCCAGATTCGTGAAGAGCAAGCTGGATTTCGTCGAGGTCGTGGCTGCATTGACCACGTCTTCACTTTGCATCAGTTGTTGGAGCACCGTCACATATATTGGCGGCCCACCGTTGTCGTGTTCCTCGATATCAAAGGTGCATTCGATTCGGTGGGTAGACATGCACTTTGGGACTGTCTACTCAGGAAAGATGTACCTGAGAAATATGTGAATATTATCCGAGCATTATATGCTCGTAGCTCGGGCAGAGTGAGGGCTTACGGCAAGTTGTCGTCGCCCTTTAATATTTCCAGCGGCGTGAGACAAGGATGCCTGCTGTCACCTCTCCTCTTCAACTTCACTGTTGACGAAGTCATGGAAATCGCATTCACAGGACACGACTTAGAAGGTGTGGATCTGCTCCCAGGAGAACGACTTCTTGACTTAGAGTATGCTGATGATATTGCCCTAATCTGTGACAGATCCCAGACGTGCCAAGCGGCACTGGACAGATTAGCACTAGCTGTCCGTCACTTCGGGCTTTGCTTCGCACCCTCGAAGTGCAAAGCGTTCCTCCAAGATTGGTCTGGACCGCCTCCTACGCTGACCCTTGGTGGGGATCAGCTAGAAGTCGTTCAAAAATCCAACTACCTGGGAAGTTGTATCAGCGCCCGTCGGATTGAGGATGAGATCACGAACCGTATAGCAAAAGCGCGTCGAGCTTTTGCTAACCTTCGCCACTTACGGCGCCGGCACGACATCACGCTTGCCCTGAAGGGTAGAGTGCACAATGCAGCGGTACGTTCGACCCTACTGTAAGGTTGTGAAACCTGGACCCTTAAAACAGCCGACCTGAAGAGGCTAGATACGTTCGACCACCGGGGCCTTCGTAATTTAGCTCACATCTGGTGGGAAAACCGCGTGAGCAATGAGCGTGTTCGACGCCTTGTTTACGACACAGGAAAAGGAAATGAACCGCTCAGCACCGTTATTTCACGCACCAGAATCCGATGGCTCGGCCACGTGTTACGCATGCTACCCCACCGACTCCCGCGACGTGCGTTGTTTGCGCGCCGAGGGTGTGGATGGAAGAAGAGGAGGGGTGGCCAAGCGATAACTTGGTCGAGAGGAATGAAGGCCCCCACTTCGGATCTGGCCTCAGTTGGAGCGTCTCGGCTCCATGGTTGGGGTCCGAAAGACGATGAACACGTTTGGTTGGACACACTTGCTGACATGGCAAGGAGCCGACCTCAGTGGCGTTAGTGCTGTGAGTTTCTTTGTCCCCCCCCATCCCTCTTAGCCTCCCTCTCCAACCACGATCTCATCATTTAGCCTTATATAATTTTGCATAGCAATTTTTTGATGCACAGTAGCCGGCTGATAGCTTACCGGAACAATGCCCATCCGTAACCGGTAGCTCAGTTGGCTTGCACCTGTTTCATTTTTTATTTTCTCCTTTTTTCTGTGTATCGATGCACAGTAGCTGAGGTGTCCCCCACCTCTAGCTAACGTGTGTGATGATGTATGATGAGCGGAAATGTTCCACCAACTCGCACACATACTCAATGGTCTCACGTTGTGGAACATTTGTGAACAACGATCGTACATCTAATGAACACATGACAATATCTGACGAATCTATGCTGTCAAGAGTTTCTATGAGTTCAAAAGAGTCATTCATTGGTGGAAACCGACGCATCGATAGAGATCTTAGCTGCATGTCTAAACTTGTTTCAACTCTATCGGCTTAGTCATTCCCGTGCTACAGTAGCTTGTGTGAGGTCATGTGTTAATACCCCATTACGTTTGTGGCGCAGCGAAATGTCGAACAACGGTACGTTGTCAC